TATAGAATATCTCACTCCATAATTATCAGAAGAATTTTAATAAACAATTATGTTTTAAGTTTGGGCTTATTAAACCCTTTCCTTTTATAGTATACTAGAGTATAATTTATCATAGAAATTATATTTGCATATATAATATATGAATAGTTGTGCTTTATGACTATTTTTTAATAATTTCATACTTTATGCATAGTCTTACTCCATTAAACTCTATGAATATTTTGCTCCTTTAAAAAACATGCCCCTGAGTTATTTACATTTGGCCTAGATAAGGGTTAGCTTAAATATTTGTCATTATTCTACTTTAGATTGTAAAGAAAAATACTTCCTTACCTGCTTCATAGAACTTCAGATCACATGGCATTTGTATTATTTTGTATTTTTGGTATGTACACACAAACACATACACACACATTTCCCACCACTAGCCTGTGTATTATATGTATATGGACTGCCTCTGCATCATTTTCTAATTCCGTAATGTTAGATATATTGTAAGTGTATAAAATGTTGAAATGAGTCAATATTCAGACATTGAAGGGCATTTAAAAAGTCCATTTTTAAGGTGTCACGATATTTTAAAATTAGCTTTTGTATCCACCAATGACAAATTTTATAGTCTATTTGTAAAATATATACTCATATGCATTATTTTGAAATTCCAATAATCTCAGGGAATTCGGATGAGCACTTAACAATGCTTAAACTATATTTTAGCCATTGCTGTTGTCTGGAGAACACATCGAAAGCATAAATATTTAGGAGAGATTATTATATTCAGATAATGAAAAAGTATTAGTAAAATGTCTAAATATGTGTAATGTGGAGTGTCCAAATATAATCACCCCATGATAGAGTTAGTAGCAAGTAAAATAAAAGCTCTAAATAAAAGCTCTAAATATTACATTCTAATTTTTGTGATGCTTTGCATATCTTTAAGATGCTTGCAAATTATTGCACAATTATTGTGACTATTTGAATCCATATCAAAATTTGGATACCTAGAACAATTGATTCACCATGGTATAGCCTGTTTGATTGGCTAGGTAGGTATGGCCATTCCCACACCGTCCCAGATGATGGCAAATCCTGTTACTAACCAAATAATGGGAATTTTTATGATCTTAGATGAAAAGTTACAGCAAAATCTTAAAAATATGTTAATTCAAACCAGATGTAGAAAGATTTTGTTAAGATGTCAAAATAGTACTGTAAAGGAATAGTTCTATTATTGTTTGACTAATAGTTAGACTTTAGACATTAAAATAACATCAAGACTGAAGTATAATATAAACCCTCTGAGTAAAAAAATAAAGCAAGGATTTTATACCTTTAATTGAAACCTGCTCTACTTTATTCACTGTAATAAAATTATATCCTATCATGATTTCCTAAAGCTCTTTACATAATTGTCTTTATTGACCAAATTTAGCCAGAATACTATTAGGTCTTAAATGACCTCATTATAGTGTGGCTGTTTTTAAAAAGGAAAATGTTCTGATTTGTTGGATTCTAATTAATGTATTTATCATAATTTCATTAATTTCAATGATTATCAAAGTTTAGCTTTCATGACCTGGGAATTTGGTTACTGTCATCTCTGCTTATTTTCTAGTTCTGCTGATTGAAATATCTATTAAGTCACAGTTTAATTACATAAATTTCTACATAATGATTCAAGATTTTTGTTAAACTACATATAGAATGAAATAGTCACTTACAGGTTAATATGACCTATATTTCTTGAAGATTAAAATTTGTCTTGTCTCCTTCATGCTGTGATGCACTGCCATACCTTATTCTCTAACTGCATATTGGTTTGAGAAGCACTTTTTATTGATTTCTGTTATCATGTTAATGTAAATGTGTCTCATAAATAAACATACTGTGTTTAGTTAGACATAAGTATTAGTAATATCAATGAACATTATTCTCTAATAAGAGTGTTTTAGATTTCATTACAATGTCCTAAAACTAGCAGTAACTTTACTTGTCTTTCTGATTGAAATTAGGAATAAGTGCTCTAAATTTTTTATGATAATTTGTGAGTGCATGTTTGTGTATATATGTGTGTGAGAGAGAGATACAGAGAGACAGAGACAGAGAGACAGAGCTCACACTCTAGCCCCAGACACAAAGGCTAAATTCGTGGATATATAATCAAGAACTATGTTGAAATCTGCACAAATGTTAACTATTTTTAAAAGAAGTTATAAAAGAGTGAGGATTACATTTTTGAGTAAAGTCACCTTCCTTATACTACCAGCCACTGTGTCCTATTAATTTTTCTCTGGTACTTCCATTCCCAGTGCCATTTCAGTGCAGTGGAACTTGTCACAAGCTGTATCCTCACCATTGCCTGAGAATTGCCTCTCTTTTCTCTTGACTGCCCTCTGCACCTCTCCCAAGTTAATCGTTCTAAAATACTGCATCTATCCCAGTCTTCCTTTGCTAATTCAGCACCCACTCTTCATGGCTTTCTATTGTCTTCACAATAAATCCTGAATTTTTAGAATAATGTGAACCTAACTCAAGGCACATCAAAGTGTGTGGCCCCCTGTCTTAATTTATAGTCTATTTCTTGATTGTTTACCAATAATCTTTTCTAGCTGGATAGTGTATTCCTACTGCTGCACCCACCTCTTCCTCTTTTCCAACCCTATTGATTTTTCAGTGTTTCAGCCTTTATGGCTTTGTAATTAATTATCTGAGAATTTAGTGGTGTCAATAAACATTTGCCATGCTCATCAAATCTTAGGGTCAGAATTTGAACAGGGTACAGGAGCAAAGTTGTCTCTGGTACACAGAGTCTGGGGCCTCAGGCTGAATCACCTGGAGCTCCTTCAATCACAAGTTTAAGGGTTAGGGTTAGTGTTACGGTTAGGGTTAAGTTTAGGATTAGGATTAGTGTTGACTGTTGGCCGGGGGCTCACCTCCTCTTCATGTGGGACTCTCCATGTGGGCCTCTTCCTTTGGCTGCTCTGCAGGAGCTAGGTTTTCTCAGAGCAGATCAGCTGACTTTCACATGGTGGCTCCCCCCAAGGAGAAAGCCATATAGAAGCTCTATCCTTTTTCATAAGCTAGCCTCATCATTCACATGGCATTATTTTTGCTGTGTTCTATTGGGTGGAGCAGTCACAAGCCTGCCTAGGTTCAAGTGGATGATAAATAGCATCCACTTCTTGATGGAGATTGGTGAGGTTTTGGAAGAACATGTGGGATTGGAAATACTGCTGTGGCCATTTAAAAAAATTGTCATTATGTCATATTAGGGACTGTAGTTCTTATCCCATATACTCTTTTAAATGTTTCTAGATTAGTATAGGCCCTGCCAACCCTTCCCCATTCTGAACTCTTATAAACTGTGCTCTTGTTCACAACCAGTATATTTTTTTGAATTTTTAACTTCCTAGTGCATCTCTTTGATCTCCCCAACTATATTGCAAATTGCTCAGTGCAAGGACGTTACTTTCCAGTGTTTATATTTCCCACAGGGCCTACCATAGGGCTTTGGACACAGTTGATGTTCAATAAACCTCCAGGTTAAAGTGAAATAGGCTTAGAATAAAATAAGCTTTGGCTTTTATGCATCATAGATGTCTGTGGTGGATGGTCTTTGTGAAGGATGCAGCTATGGGATGGGCAATGGTGGCTGTGATCTCTAAGAAATAAGTGAGCAAGAATCACATTTTAGACAGAATTAAATGTGTTTGGATTGAATGAAACATGAAAGGTTAAATGTCAACAAGGCATGATGGCTGTCAGTGGGAAGTGCTTTTCTGCATCTTAAGTATTTAATTTTAAATTTAAAATGTATTCAAAAATTCATTTAATTATTCCAAATAATAATCATTGAAAGTATTAAATTGAATTCTATGGGCATTTAACTCAGAGTTAATAAGACTAATGGACCAGTAAGAGTAAATATTGTAACATTTCACATTTAAAAAAAAAATGTGTAGCTATGCTAATAAAAGGATTTATACTCTAATTTACTTTTATTTCCTTTTAAATTAAAAACAATACATGCTTATTTTAACAAGTCAAGGTATATAGAGAAAAAACAAGTCTTCCCTCAACCATTCCCATACTGAAGATACAAAGTTTGGTTTGGTGCATGTTTTTACAGCTTTCTCCATGTTCGTTTTGTTTACTTTTCATTGTTTATATATTATTCCTTATATTTATTGTTCATGCCATAATTTATTATTCTTCAATATGCAAAGCTCATGGTTATGTCAATGGTAATTTCTCTATGTGATGATTATGGGATTTGATCATCAGTTATTGCTCTAGGAGGCTAAATTATAGACTTCGTAGCAAACTGGTAAATTTGATATTTTAATTCAAAGTTGGCTTGTTTTTAATAGATTCATAGAAAATATACAAAATAAAGTCTTTGTCGGATAAGTTCCTGCTGTGTGCTCCATTGTATTTATTTGTTCACTTTATAAGAACAAATAGTAACTCAAGGATAGAACTACGTAAAGCATTATGACTGTTACTAACTAAAACCAATAATATACTAAGGTCTCAACTTTGTTAAGTTCTTCTAATGGATATGTGTAATTTACACTTTACTAAATATTGTAAAATTTCATATGTTAAAAATTATTTGGACGTAAAATTTTCATGCGGAAGGTAAATGCACAGCCTATGGCCTTTCAAACTCTTCCCACTTTCAGGGGTATTGGAGTCTTGACCATAAAATGAAAGGAAGAGAATAAAGATCAGTCAAGTGAAAACACCAGAGTTCAGAATTCCTGACTGTCTGTAATCAGTCACTTAAACAGATCCTGTTATGTGAGGACGTTACACCCAGATCTGGTTATTATGTATTTATAACATTGAGAACTACTTATCTGGCATGGTTTTGCTATTTCAAACATGAATTGATAGAATATAATTGCCTGTATTATTATAACCTCCTGAAAAACTAAAAACATGCTTGATAGAATATTCCAAGTCCCATATCTCTATATAACTATTATGTATTTAAGATGGCAGATCACACTGAAGTGATGAAGGGCATTCGTCAATATCCAGGAATTCGATATCCTGTCCTTACTCCTAATCTTCAGGGTTTCCACCGTGCTGTAAGTGTGCTACTAATTTTTCTAAAACTGATATGCTTCTTGTTGTAAAGATCTTTTCAAAGTTAAATTGGTGTGATATGACTCCCTTGTTATCCTGCATAAATACTATTACTAATACCCGTAATGCAGGTACATAAAGATCAGTGACCTTGTGGCATTTTGGGGACTAAAATGCTCCACATAATGGCTCTTCCAGTCTAATCATTCAAGAATTAAAACATAGAAATACAATTACCCATTTTGATGAAATTCTTTTGAAAGTATATTTTGTGCTCCCCACTTAAACAAGGAATACAAAATATAACAAAGATTTCCCAATACGATATTATAATTATTAATATTATTGTAGTGGATAATTATTTTTGTCACTTTTTCTGAGGTTGCTGTTGTTCCCGCCCTCTACATGGTGCTAATCACTATCTTTGGAATTGCTTCTACCAACTTTCCTTATTTGTCTTCTGGTTTGTTTCTTCCAATCCTATGTGCCTTGGGAATTTATATGCCGAGAAGCTTTCATAATTACACATACTAGAAGAATCAGTGTAGTTTTAAGTAAAGGCTTTAGGTGTTATGCTTACATGGCTTTATTGTAAAAGTTGAGCAGCAGCTATTTTTGGTATTAATGGATATTTTTCATTTTTGTATTTGTGACTGGGTTGCATGAAGTTGAAATTGTGGGTGCTAGTTGGTGTATCACCTATTAGTGTATCTTGTGAAACCACTTTTATTTGAATTAATACAAATGTTATCACATTGTAAAGAAAGACAGAGACATTTTAAGAAATTATAAATATTGCTGTCATCTGGTCCTAAAGAAGTAGGGAATGTAACCACCTTGAGAAAGATATGAGAGTACACCCTAAGGGTAGCTTAGAAAGTAATAGGAGAAACTTTGGCTTGGGAGTCAGGCAAGCCTGTGTTTGAAACATGGACCCAGAACTTTTACTAGCCTTGGGACCTCCTATTAGTGTTTTAGCCTCTTTGAGCCACAGTTTTCTCATCTGTAAAATCACCATAATAATACTTCATTTATAAAATTGTTTGTGGATTAGAAATAAGGCATGCAAAATACAACACCAGCACATAGTAGGTGTTCAATAAATAGTAATTTTAGTTAAACTAAAAAAAAAATTTAAAAAAGTGAAGTATAGTTGATTTACAATGTTGTGTTAATTTCTGCTGTACAGCCAAGTGATTCAGCTATATATATATATGTTCTTTTTTAATATTCTTTTCCATTATGGTTTATCATAAGATACTGAATATAGCTCCCTGTGCTATACAGTAGGAACTTGTTTATCCACAGATTTTAATTTTAAAGGTTAAAAATTTATTTTGGATGGAAGAGTGGAAACCAGTATTTTTTAAAAAATGTTGGAGGAGAGATGACAGAATTTTTTTTCTTAATGAATTAATAGGGTGTCAGAGAGAAAGGGGAATCTAGGCACAGTGCTAGAGATATATTAATAGAAAGTCTTAAAAATCCAGCTGGAAAACTAGGAGGCTTGACGTTGAAAACAAGCACTGGGAAGCCTGGAGGGAGGAGAGAAGATGGCCAAAGGGGCAAAAGGGAGAATTGATTAGGTTGACATTTTGCATTTGAAGACTGGCAAGAGGATTAAGGTCTTAAGACACGCAAGAGTTTGGTTGTCACAGTCAAGGTATGAAACAGTGGAAGTGAGGTTAAGAGATAGGGAGAAAATTTGGAGCAAAATCTAAATGATGACTTGGAAAAATATTTTTCTGTTGGATGGTAAGAAGAGAAGAAAAACAGAAAGCATTTACTAGCCTCAATTTTAATAATTAGGTAAAAATAAAGTTTTCCATAGATATCAAGAGGTTTCATTGGGGTGCTAGTATTTTCCATAATTACGGTTAAAATACTGCTGAGGATAACTTTTAGGAAAGGCAAAATTAAATTGGCACATCATCATTGTATATTCTGTGATTTATGAGTATTGTAGTTTGTGGAATTATTGTGCTATCATAAAATATTTTTACATTTCAAAAGGGTGTAGGCAGCAAGTTGAGAAAAGTCTAATTTTAAATTTTAAGGAGAATGTTAAAGAATTCAAGTATTCCTTTATAGAGTAGTTAACATTGCTTCTGCTGCTCTTGTTTATGTTTATGGAATTACTAGCTTTGGCCTTTGATTTGTATTTTTCAGGTTGCTGCTGGAGCCACTGAGATCTCCGTTTTTGGTGCTGCCTCTGAACCCTTTAGCAAGAAGAATATTAACTGTGCTATTGAAGAAAGTATGGAGAAGTTTGAGGAGGTCGTTAAGTCTGCAAGACACATGAATATTCCAACACGAGGGTACTTATGAAATCCCACAAATTCTATTTAGTTCTTTAACATCAACTGTTAAAGCTCTTTATGAACTATCTAGACATTGTTTTATGACATATAATAATATACATAGGGTATCTTATTTATTACCCTGATCTTATGTGATCAGGGCCATGATTATATACTTATTACTATAACTACCTCATTAATATCAGCTGATAATTATGAGGGCGTATCCAGCCCTTATGTTGTCATGCATTTGAGGTCAGAGGGACCAATATCACAACTGACATTGTTACTCATTTTATTAATTCCAAATTATCCAAATGCAGCCATTTTTGGATCTCAGCCTAGTATAAATGGATAGATTGTTATGAACTCATAGCATTTGGAAAGGAATCATCTAATGTGGTTTCCAAATTTTTTAATTTTTTTAAGAACCATGCTTTTTCTTCAAAGAATATATTGTACAGAAATTCAATAGATTATGTAAAACGTAAAATTGAGAACTGTACTGGGGCGCTGGGCCCACCATTCCACCCATTCAGCCTCCCCTTAACAGCTGACTTCCAGGTTTTCTCTGTGTGACCCCCAAAACAAAATTATTTGGGGAAGGAGAAGAGAGAGGAAACTGGTTTGGTTCTTGCCTGCTTCCAGGACAGCAGGGGAGCATCTAGTGCAAACAGGCTCTATACTCTGGCCCGTGTCTGTGAAATGTATAATAAATTCGCTGTTACTTAAGAAAGATGTTGTTTCTCAGACATTAGCTAAGTTTCTATTTTTATAATTATGGAGATATGATAAACATGCCATATCATCTTCATAAATTAAAATGCATAGTGTTTGTAACAGAAGGCTGAGTGCTGTCACTGGGCTTAGATGCTGGTTGTATTTCCTATGGTTGAAGTAAGCAAAGTTCATAGTGGCAAGAAAGATTCAGTCATTAATGAGAAAGACAAGTGGATCCAATTTGGAGTGACTGGATTAGAAAAGGATTGGAATTCAACCAAGGTCATTTGGAGAGCAAGTAGAATTAGATTACACCATAGTTAGCTATCTTGTTGGTTTGCTTCCTTTTTTTTTAACTTCTTTTTCCTTTCTCCTTAGTAAATTTCCAACATGACTTTTTAAATATATAAAGATATTTTTGTAACTGACATGCATACATAACATGCAGAGGGCGTGCAAGAAAGTTTAAAAACCGAGATAATGTATTTCCATAGACAGAAAATAAAGGATGTCTGTTCTTAAGGCAAAAGTTACATAACCACCGTCAGAAAGGAGAGATGTCCTTTAAGTTTCTAAATTCAAACATACATAAGCTGCTTTCTCTCTCTTCCCTCTAAAGGAAAGGAAAAAATGAAGAAGCTGTCCTTCTATTTCAATTTATGTTTAAATGTGGACTAAAGTAATTCACATTGGAAAGTTGAAAAAACACAAAACTCTAAGAAGTCAAGTACATGGAAGCTTATGCTTCAAATGGGAAGTGTTTTTTTTTTAACTGTTGAAAGATGGATGTGAAAAAATTATATAATACCAAATTTTATCATTTTAGTTTTTATAAAATAGAATAGGTAACTTAATAAGGCTAATAGAAACCCTAACTTCCCTTTAATACTGATTGCTGAACATTTAATATTGTCCTATCAATAAAGAAACTTCTAAACATGCTACAACCTAAGAAGTTTTTTAGGCTTTGATAAGAAGAGTACAGAAGTGCAGATGGACAAGAACTCACCCACAGCCAAATGAAATCAGTGAAAGTACATCAGAGACTTATTGTAGTTATACTGTAGACAGATGTATGTTTTCCAACGCAGACTTCCTTCCTTTGGAGAACAAGCCCTCGATTTTCTGAAACACTAGTCATTTTTATAACTATGCCTTTGGATGGATGGATATGAGTTCACTATTTGAGCAGTTGAAAATTATCTTCTCTCCCAAACTTTCACAGAGTTTAAATTAGATTTTATTTTCACTGGCAATCTAGATGGTAGGTACTCATTATTAAAAGTCATAGGTCATTGGTACTCATTTAAGGGAAA